TGGACCTATTGCAGCACAAATGAAATAAAATTTCATCACAAAAAATCACAAAATTTCTAGTTATAAGACGAATTGTATTACATTTTTTTCTAATCGTATCAAGAGAATATCTCGCACATTATAAAATCACTCTCTAAAAAACACGAAAATTGTTAATCAGGAACTTTTTTTAAAACAGGTCTTACATATAAGATATTTTAAATGTGTAAATATTTTCAAAGAGAATTAATTGTTAAAAACACATTTTTAAACATGTCGTAATTTAATGGAGCTGGAATCTAATTCAAATCTAACTTTATATGATTAAATTTTTGATGAGAATAAGAAAAACACATCACAGAATGGTGATATTTTTTAATTCAAACTTGAAATAAATTTTGTATTTGGAATATAAATTAAAAACGGTAGTTTTTCCTTCAACATTGGCATTTATTTTAATTGATGAATTTACAGATATACCAGGCTGATCGAAAATGACGTGACTTTTACAAGATCCAAATCCGTTTACTAGCTTACAAGCTACAGCACTTGAAAAAGACCAACCCTTAATTTTTTTTTCTTAGAAAGCAAAAAAATGAATTCGATTTGTGAAATAAACCTTAATTTTAATAAATCCTTTAACAAAGTCAAAACTATGCTTGGTGATATTACATCACAACCTACAAATAAAGTGAAAAAAAAATCTACATTTTTCGAAAACTACATTATTAGAGTTTTCTACATGTTTTGCAGTACAAAACTATGTCTTTATTGCAATAAACATTACCAATGTTTACCTTTTCTCATTTTTATTGGCCTTTATTAATAACAAGATGGTTGAATTGTTGACGAACAATTTTATCAAATCTATCTAAAGTTATCTGTTTTGCAACGTGAGATGCTCTCTTCGAAATATACTCGCCCACGATACACTTTATAAACTGATATTTATGAGTTGGATCACACTCAAATTTTGATTCGGAGAACATTCCGTTCAAATCCATGGATCGAAAAATCAAACAGTATAGCACCTTAAAATCAAATCGGGGGTGGGATTTGTTCGCCTCAAATAATTTGAAATATTGTTCAGAACTTTTGCAAATGTGCAGTGTGCTAATGCATGGTTTCCAAGATAAATATGAATTATCAATAGATGCTTTTTTGTTCTCTACAAAAACTAAACGGCAGCTATTGCAATGAAAACTGTTACATGTCATTATTTTCATTTCGATCTCTGATGCAATATGTTGAATCATAAATTCCGAATTAACGTCCAAGTTTGACAAACGGGACAAAACGTCAGTAATTTCGATCGGATCAAATGTATCAGTTGTATCAACTCCTGCACTTTCAGCCAATTCATTGAGTATGGAATCCTTTTGCGCTTCATAGACATTTTCGTCCATAACAATCTTCGCTCTCTTTGATGAAACAAAATAGATATCCGAATAAAAGCAAGTCTCTGGCAAGTCCAAATCAAAAGCACGACAATTGCTCTTCTCAGATAAATCTATCTTTATATTAGATTGAAGTTTACGATATGCACCTTTAAATTGTTGAATATTTGGATTATTATTGAATCCACCACATGCCCTGATTCGACCGAAAAACATTTCAATGACATCTTGGAGTAGATTATAGGTAAACATATTGTCCAGAAAATGGGCTTCTTCAACATACTCTTTAAACATTTCAAACAATGAAAGTGAATCCATAATGAATCCAAGAAATGCGGTGTTCACTCGAGACTTCAAAAGTGGCACTCTTTTAATAATCTTTAAAGCTGCTGCAATAGGAGTCGCTTTCCGGATAATATATTCTTCATCGACAGTAAGAGTTTTGAAATATTCACCAAATTTGCGAAGGAAATCAAAGACGACACGTTTATTGTTAGCTGACAAAGCTCTTTTGAAAATGTTTTGATGTTGCAATAGTTTTGAATTGAAAATATCGAACAATCTATCCATGCCCCTAATAAATTTAATGGTGGATTTGGCGCCTTGAAATTCTTCAACACCTTGATCCATCAAAAATTGTAAGCTATCTGCAACTGATTTGCTGAAAGTTTCAGCAGCAATTCTTACATTCATTTCGTGTCGCTTGAATTCAATGTGTTTTTTAGTTAGCTTATGTGCACGGAAATCACTAGAGTTTGAATAGTGATAAAGATTTTCAATGTAACGCCATTCAATTTTATTGTTATTTTCATCATAAATTTTTTTTCTTGAAGCCAATGAATTTCTGGCACATTTCTCCATATGGCATGGATCCAATATCAAATAAATTTTTTCTTCGGTGATTGGATTTAAAAAAAATGTTTTAAAACCTTGTGAAAATACATTCAAATTCGCTCCAAACAGTTTAAACATAGCAATGTTGGCCTTTGCTCCATCACATGTAATATTAGTTATTTTAATTCCGCATCTTGTTACAGCTTTGATGATTTCAGCCAGTAAAGTGTGACGATGATTTTTTTTCAGCGAACTGATGAAATAGTATGCTACAGGAAACTCAAAATTAGCATCAATGCCATTCAAAATAAAAGCAATGACTTGCTTGGCCAC